TTTAACTGCTGTGACCTTGAAAGAAGGTCAAGTTCATTTTTGTCTCAAACTTTGTCGGGCTCCTACCAACGAAGCTTTCAGTCAAATATCTTGGCTCTATACCTGTTCGTTTTTCAGAAGAAGTTGTTTAAAGCAAATTTTGAAGGACGACGACGACGGAGCACCATGACATAATTATCGATGTTGCCAAATGAAAAAGAACTCATTTTGTAACAACGGTAACTTGAACTTCATGTAATGCAAAAGCAGTGTGAAAGATGGAAGTATATGTATTATGTACAAATAATGGTTCTGTCAGTCAGCTGAATTTTGGTAAAGCACCTAATAAGACCCTTCCATCTATGAAGAGTGTTTGATTCTACAATATCTTGGTCTTGAGAAGAAGATTTTTGAAATTACAGTCAATTTGACCCTTTTTGGCCCCACCCATCAGCCCCTGGGGTCAGTCAGGGCTGATTTGTGCATAACATCAAACTGCTATCCAATACTGATAATGCTAATCAAGTTTGAATTAATTCCAATGGAAATTAAACAAATGTTGGTCCAAAATGTGATTTCCCTATATAAACTATAGTCAAGTTTACCCCCTCCCCAGGGGAAAACATGAGACCCCAGGGTCATGAAATTCATTAATTTGGTAAACCACCTTAAGACCCCTCAATCTATGAAGAGTATTTGATTCTACCATATCTGGGTCTTGAGAAGAAGATTTTTGAAATTTTAGTCAATTTTACCCTTTTTAGCCCCGCCCCTAAGGCCCCTGGGGGCTGGGGACCATATAATTCACAATTTTGGTTAACCTTTGGCCATGGAAGGTTTCCGTAAAATTTTATTGAAATTAGTTCAGGGGTTTTGGAGAAGTTGAAAATGTAAATTGTTTATGGACGCACGCCGGACAAAAGGCGATCGCAATAGGTCACTCGAGACTTTGTCTCAGGTGACCTAATAACTTGAAGCATATATTTACAGTAGTTACAGATTATCCCAAAAGCAAGTCTGTTTTTCTTATCATAAAGTGCCTGAAAACATTCCCAATTCAAATGTCCTTTGGCATGATTTAGTAAAATGACTTTTAATGTCAGTGCACATTTTTAAAATACATTACTCAATACTGAATTTAATCCACAATAGTTAATAAGATTTTTCATGTTGACAAAAACTGAAATTTATTTTCCAGCTTGGAGGCATTACATTGTTTGTAATGCATCGTACTCAGAAAATGCAAAGTAATTAATAAAACCAACACTTTCAATCTCTGTAAACACATTCTACATACATGTATTATGTGCGGGATCTTCATACAACAAACACAAAATATAACTTTGGACTGGGTGAGCTATAAATGTAACCAACAAAAATATCCTTGATTTTTTTTTTATAAAACAATTCATAATATAAATCATACAATAATAAAATATCTAAACCAAGAATGTCTTCTTTATATTCTCATGTGTTACATAGCTTTTTTTAATAAAATATCCTGAAGAAATAAGATATATCTGCTGATTGTAGAGCATTGCTGTATTTACATTTTGTATTGTAGAACAGACCTCTTTTTACTGAAGAGCATACTCACTTTTATACATTGTACTGTAGAGCATACTCACTTTTGTTTATTGTACTGTAGAACATACTCACTTTTATATATTGTACTGTAGAGCATACTCACTTTTATACATTGAACTGTAGAACATACTCACTTTTATATATTGTACTGAAGAACATACTCACTTTTATATATTGTACTGTAGAGCATACTCACTTTTATACATTGTACTGTAGAACATACTCACTTTTATATATTGTACTGTAGAGCATACTCACTTTTATATATTGTACTGTAGAACATACTCACTTTTATATATTGTACTGTAGAGCATACTCACTTTTATATATTGTACTGTAGAACATACTCACTTTTATATATTGTACTGTAGAGCATACTCACTTTTATATATTGTACTGTAGAACATACTCACTTTTATATATTGTACTGTAGAACATACTCACTTTTATATATTGTACTGTAGAACATACTCACTTTTATATATTGTACTGTAGAACATACTCACTTTTATATATTGTACTGTAGAACATACTCACTTTTATATATTGTACTGTAGAACATACTCACTTTTATATATTGTACTGTAGAACATACTCACTTTTATATATTGTACTGTAGAACATACTCACTTTTATATATTGTACTGTAGAACATACTCACTTTTATATATTGTACTGTAGAACATACTCACTTTTATATATTGTACTGTAGAACATACTCACTTTTATATATTGTACTGTAGAACATACTCACTTTTATATATTGTACTGTAGAACATACTCACTTTTATATATTGTACTGTAGAACATACTCACTTTTATATATTGTACTGTAGAACATACTCACTTTTATATATTGTACTGTAGAACATACTCACTTTTATATATTGTACTGTAGAACATACTCACTTTTATATATTGTACTGTAGAACATACTCACTTTTATATATTGTACTGTAGAACATACTCACTTTTATATATTGTACTGTAGAACATACTCACTTTTATATATTGTACTGTAGAACATACTCACTTTTATATATTGTACTGTAGAACATACTCACTTTTATATATTGTACTGTAGAACATACTCACTTTTATATATTGTACTGTAGAACATACTCACTTTTATATATTGTACTGTAGAACATACTCACTTTTATATATTGTACTGTAGAACATACTCACTTTTATACATTGAACTGTAGAGCATACTCACTTTTATACACTGTAGTGTAGAACATACTCACTTTTATACATTGAACTGTAGAGCATACTCACTTTTATATATTGTACTGTAGAGCATACTCACTTTTATATATTGAACTGTAGAGCATACTCACTTTTATACATTAAACTGTAGAACATACTCACTTTTTCTACATTTTACTGTAGAGAATACTCACTTTTATATATTGAACTGTAGAGCATACTTGCTTTTATATATTGAATTGTAGAACATACTCAATTTTATATATTGAACTGTAGAGCATACTCACTTTTATACATTGAACTGTAGAACATACTCACTTTTATACACTGTACTGTAGAGCATACTTGCTTTTATATATTGAACTGTAGAACATACTCACTTTTATATATTGAACTGTAGAGCATATTCACTTTTATACATTTTACTGTAGAGCATACTCACTTTTATATATTGTACTGTAGAGCATACTCATTTTTATATATTGAACTGTAGAGCATACTCACTTTTATACATTGTACTTTAGAGCATACTCACTTTTATACATTGAACTGTAGAGCATACTCACTTTTATATATTGAACTGTAGAGCATACTTGCTTTTATATATTGAACTGTAGAGCATACTCACTTTTATAGATTGTACTGTAGAGCATAGATCTATTTATACATTGAACTGAAAAGCATACTCCTTTTTATACATTGTACTGTAGAGCATACTCACTTTTATACATTGTACTGTAGAGCATAGATCTATTTATAGATTGTACTGTAGAACATACTCACTTTTATATATTGTACTGTAGAGCATACTCACATTTATATATTGTATTGTAGACCAATATTTATTTGTATAGTAAGTATATCATCAATTTCCTTTATATATCTTGACCTTTCCCACAGTTCTCAAAGTCAGATAGGGACTGATCTTTACCATGTACCGGGCCACTAAGCAGCACATGTAGTCAACACCAAGCCCCTATCTGAAGAATCACATGTGCTTGGCATCTTTAGACACTGTCAAGAGTCTGATTTAGCATGAATTAATTGATGCCCACAAACTACATGCAATAGAAAACATACATAAACTTCAATTAGACATAAATAAATGCAATATATTTGTATCGAAAGAGCATCACAACCAGAATACTGCCAAACTATTTATTTATCTATGCCAGTTACAACAGCTGACCTGTACTAAACCATATGGTTGTCAACCATAGAGCAGAAAGAGACCCTGTAGGAGGGTATACGTAATATTTAGAAATCAAATTTCGAAAATTTTACTTTAAGCTAGCTAAAACTGACGGATGGGATTTGTCAATCAATATTCCAGCAAAAAACTTATGAAAAATGAATAGTAGATATTTTTAAAACCGAGTTTTACTCTTTAAAATAGTTATAAACATACATCAATTAAATAATTAGTTCATACAATTTATATTCACTTAAAACAAAATACGACATTCAACTCTTCAGTTTTAAAACAATCATTGCACATTCCAAGGAATGACTTTCACTTGTAACAGACCTCCGCTTATGAGTTAACCTGGCAATAGGAAACTACGATCCCTATCACTCCAAGTCACAGGTAACATGTCACAGGTAACAAGTCACAGGTAACATGTCACAGGTAACTAGTCACAGGTAACATGTCACAAGTAACAAGTCACAGGTAACAGGTCACAGGTAACATGTCACAGGTTACTAGTCACAGGTAACAAGTCAAAGGTAACAAATCACAGGTAACATGTCATAGGTAACAAGTCACAGGTAACATGTCACAGGTAACAAGTCACAGGTAACATGTCACAGGTAACAAGTCACAGGTATTATGTCACAGGTAACAAGTCACAGGTAACATGTCACAGGTAACAAGGCATAGGTAACAAGTCACAGGTAACATGTCACAGGTAACATGTCACAGGTAACAAGTCACAGGTACATGTCACAGGTAACTTGTCACAGGCATTTATCATATGCTATATCTTAACTGAAAACATTTTCTTCAGTTGAATATCAAGATTATCTGAGCTGCCTTCATCACACAAATATTTATAACCATCCATTCAAACACACTCCTCCCCTTTAGTCAATTCATTTATAGCTTACCGGTACTTCTGTCATATATAAACCTCCACAAGGATAAAGTCCTTTTTCTCAAGTCCATTCCTTCAAATCACATTTGATTTGGCTTTGAAGATACCCTTTTGATTCAATCATACATTTAAACACACCATTTCTTTCTCTAGTCCATTTCCTCATACCGTGCTTTCTTGGCACTGGAACTTTCACTGTCCGAGTCGGAGTCTAGTCCTTTATCTAGGTTTGAGGAAAGGATATCCAGAGGAATGTTTAATATTCTCTGTTCATGAGGCAGGGATGCGAGGCCTGCCTCTAAAGCACCTTGTTCAATGGCAGCAAGAGCTAAGTCAAACGCCTGTACCACTTGTTTGGCATTGTCACATGTGAAACACATCGGTGGGGAAATGATCATCACATTTTTGTCTGGACCTTCGTTGGCTATTAGGATCTTTCCCTCCTTCAGTCTAAAAAACAGTAAATAAGTTTACTATACACTGGGTGATAGTGATACAACATGCTGTAACTTTTAATGTTACAGACAATATTGATTACATGCAATAATCAAGCCTGGAACCTGTAAACAAGCAAAAGTTGGGTGGTCTGTTGATTCAGTGGACAGCATTTGCCTTTCACTGAGATGACTGGGATTTAATTCCCCAATTGGACATGAAAGGGTATGGGGTCACCTGCTGACCAGTTGGGTTTTCTCCAGGTTCTCCGGTTTCCTCCTACATCAAGACCACCTGCACATTATCATCTAGACCATCAAGAGTGACTAATATAAGTTGATATAACTTGTTTCATAATTGTTATAACATGTTTATAATTTAAGTTTATACCAGGCCATATTTCAGTCAAAAGTTAACCGACAGTCCCCAGAACTGTTGATCAGTGGTCAATTATCTTTATGTATAACGGGACAAACTCCAGTACCTATGATAGATAGTTGTCAAACAAGTGTCATCTGATAAATAGTTGTCAAACAAGTGTCATCTGATAAATAGTTGTCAAACAAGTGTCATCTGATAATTGTAAAACACATCTGGCCTCAGATTTGCATTTTAAATCAGGAGTTTCCACAAATAATCGGGAGTCGTAAACTTTCTGTCTATGAGAATCATGTACAATACATTAAAAGAGAAAATGAAAAACAAACCTTAAACTTACTTTTTCTTAACCAGTATTTTAAATATATTGTCATCCTGGTACAAAATACTAGTTGCTTCCTACAGAAAGTAGAATTGCTACAGATCAGATTATTGTCACAATCATATATATAGGTACATGTAGCAGTGTACAGTAGCATACGGTGGCAATGGGTGATATTTTTGTACAATGAATAACCCATGTAATATTACATGTATCAAAGTTTTAAAAAAATATATCAACACTTAAATTGGCATAACCATGATGAAGTGGACTATGCGGGCTTCACACTTTTTTTTTTTTTAGCACACCATGGTAGGTGCTGTAAGTACATATGAAATTTCAGAAAGGTCCATCCAGTACTTGAGATATAGCGAGAACAAACTTCGAACAGAGCCCCACCCCTATGCCCCTAGGCGGGTCATACCCACCAATTATACAAAATTGAGACCCCTTGACCCAAGGATGCTCCAGACCAAATAAGGATAAAATCCCTTAATACCGATGGTCGCAAAAGGATTTTAAAGGTTTTACCTCTATTTCTCCCATTGNGCCCAAGGATGCTCAAGACTAAATTAGGATAAAATCCCTTAATCCCCATATGGTAGAAGTAGGATTATAAAGGTTTTACTTTTATTTTTCCTATTGGATCCCGTCCCTCAGGTCCCAAGAGGGCCACACCCACTGTTTATACAAAATTGGTTCCCCTTTATCCAAGGATGCTCCACACCAAATATGGAATCAATCCTTTCATTCCTATATAGGAACAAGAGACCCAAGGGCCTTAGAAGTCACCTGAGTTATATCATAGGTACTGGTAGCTTTATTTTATTGTTTAGATGTGATGTGGAAATCAGCATGTACACTAAGTGAAATACAATACTTGTCTTGTCATCAAAGGATAAGAATTTTAAAATATTGGTAAATATTCCCTTTGGGGCCCCGCCCTAGCCCCTTGGGATGGGGCAGGAATCCCAATTTTACAATGTAATACCCTCATTCACCAAAGATAATTCTGACTAAGTTTGAGTAATTTTAGCTCGGGGGTCCTGAAATTTACAATTTAAATAAAGCCCCTGATGATTTTCTTTCCATGCAGAGAAAATGAATGTAGTACCTCTGAGTCTGGAGGTATGGCATAAGATCACCATGGTCCTTCGGACCAGGTGAGCTAAAAACGAATTTGGTTTCAGACTACATTTTTGGCCATTTACAAATCTGTGTCTACACAACAAAAGATAGCATTTCATGTAGTCTATTTTTGAACTCAGCATATTGTGAAAAATCCAGTTGAACGACCTATGCTAAAACGTGAGTATTTCTGTTACTGAGTAGGTGATATTCAATTTAAGACACACAAAAAGTACTACTTGCGTGGATCAAATTTTAGGTAAAAAATAATGGGTTTTTTTTTGCATTTTGGGGCATTTTTTGATGTGGTAACCATGGTTTTCACAAGTCCCAAATCTGGGGAAATCACTTTTTGAAAAAAAAAACATTCTTCTAAAATGAATGTATTCAAAATGTAGTTTATGAATATTTATATATATAAGTAGGTGTGTTGTGCAGAATAAATCTGCTATCCATGTTTATCTGAGACATGCCCTTTACTTTTAGGATCAAGCCATTTCTACTGTACTCTGCTACCATAGCAGTAAAGTTACCTTACAAAATTTTCTGAAGAAGCTCAGAACATTTTCAAAGAATTTTACATTTACAAATGAAACAAAGACTTTACTTGGTAGAATTATCTTTGAGAGGGATGTTTAGGGGCACTGTATAGTAATAATCAAAGAGCTGACAAAAACTCAACAAACTGTTACTTACTTGTAGCTCAGAATCTCTGCAGCTTGTTTAGCAGGCTTCCTGCTCTCTTTGTCCACAACAATCTCCACACCAATTATCATTCCCATACCCCTGTAATCATAATCATATATATATATACCCACAACAATCTCCACACCAATTATCATTCACATACCCCTGTAATCATAATCATATATATATACCCACAACAGGGCTGCTACAATATATAACTCCTACACTCCTACAATTAAGCATTCCTTCACGCCCACAATCCAATTATCATTCCCACATGAAGATAAACAAAATCAAATGTTTATAAGGAATTTGCTAATTTTTCAAAAATTGTCATTAAGTACTTGTATATCTACATAAGCTGAACCCTGTTTATCCCCAAATATCAAACTTCAGTCTAATAACAGTTTGATATGTTATTATTTAATATGTCGCGGGTCTCTGCCACTTGTCAAATAATCTGTCACCCTGCCTGCCTACCAAATCTGACACCCTGCCTACCTGTCATCCCTCAAATAATCTGTCACCCTGCCTGCCTACCATCCCTCAAATAATCCGTCACCCTGCCTCCCTACCAAATCTGACACCCTGCCTACCTGTCATCCCTCAAATAATCTGACACCCTGCCTCCCTACCATCCCTCAAATTATCTGTCACCTGCCTCCCTACCATCCCTCAAATAATCTGACACCCTGCCTGCCTACCATCCCTCAAATAATCTATCATCCTGCCTCTCTACCATCCCTCAAATAATCTGACACCCTGCCATCCTACCTAATCTGACACCCTGCCTCCCCACCATCTTTCAAATAATCTGTCACCCTGCCTCCCTACCATCCTTCAAATAATCTGTCACCCTGCCTTCCCTCAAATAATCTGTCACCCTGCCACCCTACCATCCCATAAACATTCTGTCATCCTGCCTCCCTACTACTCCTCAAATAATCTGTCACCCTGCCTCCCTACCATCTGTCAAATAATCTATCAACCTACCTCCCTACCACCCCTGAAACATTCTGTCACCCTGCCTTCCTACCACCCCTCAAACAATCTGTCGCCCTGCCTCTCTACCATCTGTCAAATAATCTGTCAACCTACCTCCCTACCACCCCTCAAATAATGAGTCACCCTGCCTCCTTACAGACCTCAAAATATCCATCACCCTGCCTTCCTACATCCCTACCTAATCTGACACCCTGCCTCCCTACCTTCCCTCAAATAATCTGTCACCCTGCCTCCCTACCATCTGTCAAATAATCTGTATCCCTGCATCCCTACATCCCTCAAATAATTAATCTCTTGCCTATAATTTCCCCTGTACTCTACTTCACTACCTGAAGGTATAAGACAAGGTGCCCAATTTGGTTTTTACCTTTTTATTAAATCTATATATAAACTATGTATACAGATTACCTCTGTTAGCCAATATTCTTGAAAACTTTAAATAAATATGCTTCAAAAATGGGAATCAGAACACATTTCTATTTAAAGAGCTGCACAGAAATAAGTTTATGCAAACAACATTCTGTCTTCTCGAGATACATGTATGTGTTACAAGTTTGGTGAATGTAGGTGAAATAGCAAGGAATGTATGCTTAGGGGAAGCTTTGTTATAAAAAAGAATAAAGGGACTAGCTCTATATAGAGTGGGACAGGAAACCTGACTTCAGTTTGTGACATGTAGCCTTCCTCAGATACTTTCCTTCCCGAAACTCTATTAACCTTGCTACTATCCTTAAATAACCTACTGTCTCCCCACAATCCCCTAGGTAATCTGTCTCTGTGTCCCTTCCACACAATCCCCTAGGTAATCTGTCTCTGTGTCCCTTCCACACAATCCCCTAGGTAAT